CGGTATTTGCCGGCTCCGACACGTCAAATTTGGGGCGAGCGTGCGCATGAAGACAAAAAGCCACAGTCAGCCTGAGCTCATGAGTTTTATTGAAGCGACAAAAGTTCACCAAAAGTGAGCGTGCAAACGGCATGGAAACCAATCGAGTGTTTTCATGTCACCCCGGAATGACTACATGATGATTACGAGCAACCGATTTGAGGAGAAGGCAAGCGACAGAAAAGTCTTGATGGCGTCTTAAGTTTCAAAAGGAAAGAAAGCAACAATGGAGCTGCAGCTGGAAGGCAGGCGTGCCGATTACTTTCTGTCATCCGGGGTGGCACCTTGGGGGGGAGGGGGAGGGGGTGGGGGAGGAGTCTGGCCCGAACCCGAACCCGGGGTTCCGTCTGAATGCGTGCTATGGTCAGGGAATCCGCTCGAATAATCCACCCCCTCAATCCAAACTCTGTTTCCAAAAACACGCAAGGAAAGGCCGACATCCTGGTTGAGCTTTAAACCGAGAAGGAAATCTGGAGTCACACACGTGAGTCCCCCATTGGTGGTTGGGTCGGATGTAGTCGATGACGGGCCCTCGGTCGTTGACGAACCGGGCCCGGAAGACGGTGACGGATCGGGTGCGGACGACGGACCGGGCCCGGAAGATACAGGATCGGGCGCAGGTGTCACCGGATCGGGGCCGGGTGGATCGTTTTCATCTGGGGTAGGTTGTGCCAGAGAGGCGGGCAGGCTGATGCTTCCTGTCAATGGCAACGTTGCCCCGTCGGGTTAGTCGCTGTCATGCCTTGGGATATGCCGCGCGCCGGTCGAGAGCGGGATGACTTACCAAGCAGTAAAATAAGCGTGAACACCTTGAAAGTCCCCATTTTGTCAGACGCCGTTCTGAAAGACAGCCAAAAACCACATTCAATGCACACGAAAGAAAAGAGGGCTCCGCGGGCAGGCCCGAGTCCCGCCGGACCAAAGTCGTATTTCGCCCGCCCAAAAAAAAAAAAAAGAGCAAGGAATGTTTGTCAGCGATGGGATGTCCCAGCCGTTGCCCGCGCGGCGTCCAAACGCCGCCACCCCATTGGACAAAGTTCCTCAAGCGCACAAAGCAACGTCCGTCGTGACCCTCCCGGTCCCAATCGCTCGACTTGACGGCAAAGTATGTCCAAGACACAGGCTGCGTTCAACGAACGGCCGTCGAGACGAAGAACGTACTCACCGCGCGGAATCCAGTCTGCCCCTGGGTTGGCGTCAGTGGCGCGCCGAGGTTTTATACAGTGCCTCGCTGCCGCAAACAAAGGAGTCGGTTCGCTTTGTGCAGCCCTCTTTAAGGTGGGGCCCTTCATTAATTCCCCTTGTCTTCTCACGCAAGCGCTTGGTTTCTTCTAGGCGGGTCTTGTCGAGCCACATTTCACCTTCACATTTTCCTACTGTAATGAATCAATTACATGAGTCACTTTGAACATGGGGGAACGCCATGTGAAAAAGGCATATGTCACTCGGCAACAAGGACAAACCGGTTTGTCTCCCTCAAGCGCTGCTCCCGAGGCGCTTGCGCTCCTTTTTGAAGCCGCGACAGCACACGCGGGCCCCCCTGCCCCCCGCTCGGCAGGTGGGATGCCTCCACGAGCGGGATGGAGCGTCGAAGCGCCGGCTCGCGTTCCCGACGGCGCGGCCGGGAAAGCGCCGCCTCGGTCCGACATTCTCCCTCAACCAATCCAGCCGCTCGCCGGTTGGGCGGCGCGTCTGCCGCCTGGCGTTTGCCAGATCTCGGGCGCCCTCGCTTGGCTGATTGAATTGGTCCCTCGCCCCATCGACAGCCAAAAAGACAGGAGGCTCGGAGAAGGGCAGGCCGAAAAGTGCGACGCGCACAGACACGCTCTCCCTCATCACCGAGCCAGTTTGCCGGCTCGTTTTTGCCACCGTCACTCCGTGGACCGAGTCCAAGGTTGGACGGCTGCCACCGATATTTTGGGAACCTGCGGAGAAAAAAAACACCCGAAAAAAACCCCTCTATTTGGCGCTAGATGCACCACCGATGGAGGTGGTGGGGTGTTCACGTGATCATCCTGATCAATCTTGAAAATATGAAGCCAAAGAATCGAATGTGGCTGCGGTCGCCGCGGTCGCTCTTCTTCTCTCGTTTCAAATATTCCAGCCCAAAGTCCGTTCATTCCATTTTAAATCGTGAGAGGAGAATCGCGCGGGCGGGGGGAGCGACACCCCAGACGGGTGGCAGAGCACACAATGAGAAAAAAGGAGCATTCGCAGCGTCCCGCGCCGCCCGCTCGCGAGTCAGGCGAGGGGACAGCGGCGACTTCTCGGCCACCGAAGCCTCTCTGAAAATGACGACCCGAAGGAGGAGCCTGCTTTTCCGAGTCCGAGACTTCTCTCCACAGAGGAAGCATCCTTGGCAGCCGCATCACGGTGTGGGCCGGGCGGGAGCTGTGCTGGCGGCAACAGAGGAGGAAGCCCTGCGAAGTTGGAAAGCCCAACCCTCGGTCCACCGAGACAG